GGGATTAAATACTCCAAGGACCTACATCCAGTGACCTGTATCCTCCAGGTTGATCCTACACCCTCCCCACAACCCCAAAGTTTCCCCAGCCTCCCCAAATAGCACCACAAGCTGGGAACAAAGTGTTCACAATCCAAGTCTGTGAGAACACTTCATATTCAAACCATAACAGCAATTCAGGGGCTATTTTGTTTTTTAACTTGTCTGGGGAATTTTTAAATAACCACTTATTAGGATAATGGGTTTACAGATATTATAACAGATATAACTGGAAAAAATCAAGGAAGGGAGAACTAAGTGAAAAACAAGGCAATTTATAAAAAATGGACATTTTAACATGCTGGTGAATTTTGGAAATTTCGAAATAACCAGACTATGCTAGCATACATTCTATTAGCAGTCACTGGGGGTGCTTTTTACATAGCCTCTGGAGAGAAGTGTGTAGATAAATGTAGAAGGGCCTTGAGGATGTCCACTTTGAGAACCATTTATCTAAACATGCAAGCTACTTTGCTGTGGTGAGAGACAAGAGAAAACAGTGAGCTAAGTCCTCCCACCCCACCTAAATATGGAGCTGCAGCACACGTATGCCTTTCAGGGTCTGCTGTGTGTCTGTTACTTAAAGAAATAGGCTCCAGGACTATAGCATTTTCTAGAGTTGTCAGGGTGGGGGAAGGGAAAATGAGCGACAGCTAATGCACATGCGATTTCAGGCGGGATGATGAACACATTCTGAAACTAGAGGTGGTGGTTGCACAGCTCTTGGAATAGCCAAAAACTAATGGACTGCATATTTTTAGAGGGTGAATTTTGTGGGACGGCAAAAAAAGGAGAAGTGTTGAAACATTTCAAGTCTTTTGGCCCAAGAAACTGGAAAATAACGGAGAATCACGAGCTTGACTTTGCATGTTGCACATTGAGACTCAAGTGAACAGGACACACTGTCCCTGTGTAGACAATTCTGAGGGTTAGAGGAGTCTGCCCCAGAAATAGAAATGTGTGTCATCTGCCTACAACAGGCAAAGGCCAGTGTGGTGCTTGGAATGAGAACAGCCCCCGTAGGCTCAACTGTGTGATACTTGGTCCCCAGTTGGGGATGATGTTCAGGGAAGTTTTGCAGAAGGAAATGTGTCACTGAGACAGGGTTTTGAGGTTTTAAAGCCATGGGCCATTTCCAGTTAACTCCCTCTGCCTCATGCTTGTAGTCTGAGATAAATCCTAGCTAGCTCTTAGTTTCTAGCTCCAGCCACCATACATGCTGCCTGATGTCATATTGTCCCCACCATTAGGAACTATGAACCCAAATCAATCTTCTATAAATTGACTAGGCCATGTTTTTCTTTTTGTCACAGCAACAGAAAAGTAATACAATGAGACAGCATAAAATCACCAAGTGAGTAATGTCATTATTTCATTATTAATCTGGCTCTTTTAATTGGTTTATTAAAGGTGAGAGACCAGACTAGGCACGGTGGTGGCTTACACCTTTAATCCCAGCACTCCAGAGGCAGAGGCAGGTGGATCTCTGTGAGTTGGAAGCCAATCTGGTCTACATAGTGAATTCAGGACATCCACAGCTACACAGAGAGACCATGTCCCAAAACAACTCAAGGAGGGAAGAAAAAAAAAAAAGTTAGGTGTCTAAACCTGGCTTGTTGGAGTACAAGCTTTTCTGTAACAAAAGGGCCAGAGAGCTGTGGTTGTGTTAAGGGAACAAGCACACAGTTTGGGGGAAGCTCTAAGAATTGTGGAACTGGCAGAACATGGTAATACAGAGGAAATGAAAGTATTGAGACAGAAGCACAGCTACATTCATGCTTTAACTTATAAAGCAAATGACCATCAGGGATAACCAGATTTTAGCCAAAGCATTGGGAATTAACAATTGCATGATAATTATTAGCACTAAGTTTGAATTATTCTGGGAATAATTAATGCTTAAGTTCATTATCCATTAATTGCAAGCATATGAAGTGCTCTAACACCCATTTTTGACAATCAACACTGAAGGGACACATCGCAGTCTCTAAAGTATGCTGTGTTCTGAGGGTCAGTCTTGAGACTTCCACCCTGTCTGTATTCCCGGTACAAAGGGTGGACAATTCTTTGAGAACTGTTTTGTTTTGTTTTTTTCTTGTGGAACTTTTTGTACTCCTATTAGCATTGCCAAATTTGTTTCTAGTAATGAACTATGAAACTAATGAGATAACACAACTTCTTTGTGATCTAGTTCCTACACCCATTTGTAAACATCAGATCAGATCTTCCCTAATGGATAGAACATGAGGATCCACAGTTTCTTCAGCATCACTTCACACTTGTGTGCCTTTTCTGTAGTTAGATTTTTGTCCCTTTTCCAATACAGCATACTTTCTCTTTGTGTATGTGTGTGTTTGTATATATGTAGACATAGATTTGTCTACATGACAAAATTTATGTCATGCATTTTCCTCCACTGCTCTCCACTTTCCAATTCAGCTAGTCTAGCTAGCCAACTTGCCTCAAGGATCCCAAGTGCTGGGATTACTGGCGGGCCACCATGCGTTTTATGTGAATGTTAAGAATCGGAACCCTGTTCTCACACTTTGGTAGCAAGCTCTTTCTCCACTGACGCATGGCTCCACCCCTTCAGTACAGCATGTCTGGATTAACCTTGCTACTCTACCTGCACCCAAGTCTGCCACCTCCCAAGGGAGACTGCCCCAATACAGTTGTAATGAAGGCCTGCATTCCTTCAGGCAGATATTGCTTCCAGTACCAGCACTGCCTCTCTTCATCGACAGTAAGAGCAGAACACAACCAGTCAGATGTACACTAAGGTTATCCAGACAAAAGCACTGGAAAACAAACCTTCTGGTCCCCTTTCCAGACACAATGCATCCCAGGGTATAACAGAATCTTTTTAAATTTAATAATGTGCATTAAAGCCTCCAATGAAGAGTTAAGCAACAACAAGTTTTACTTGAAAAGTGACCATTTTCATCATGTCATGTACCCAAAGGCAGACTCAGAGATCTCTGGCTTTAGAGTTGGGTTGCACACATCATTGCTCTACCCTGGCAGCCTCACCATTTGAAAGCAAATCATAATTCATAAGCTAGAACTTTTGCAAATAAAGGAATTATCGAGACAAAATGGAGAGAATAGAAACACGTAAGTTACATTCATCTACTGGATAATGTGTCCAGGCTATAATTAATTACTATGCCTGGAAAATGCTGGCATTACAAACATTTTGGTTCTATTAGGATGCAAATTTTAATTCAGTGAACTATGAGAAAGCACATCTGTGACATCATCTGAGCACTCCTCTAGAGTATCAGAGGTGTTATTAACATAACAAAACATTTCAGCTTCCAGAAAACTCCTCGGCAGGGAGGTAACTAAGAGTGGAGGTCGGATAAAATACCTGTGAACATGAAAACAACTGAAAACTGAAGAGGGGATGAGTTGACCCATCCCAAACACAATCAAGGCTGGACTGCTTGTCCATTTTTCTGTGACTGAGAAGTGGGTCAGAAGGTACTCACAAGCACTTGGCTGCAGCACCTGGGAGACCTGCTGGTACTGACACCAGTTTCAGAAGGGAGAGAAAAATAGACAGCACCTATTCCTTCTGTGAAGAAACTGAATCAGATGACTTTTCAACAGCATGGGATTATCAGCTAAAGCTGATTAATGGGGACCAGGGGGGTGAAGCTGATGTAGGAAGATCCCTGGTTGGAAGAGTAGTCAAACTCACTGGAAGGTGCCTGGACCCCAAGGGTACCTGGAGGCAGAAAGGAGTAAAAACTAATGAAGAAAGACCTTGTTCTGAATAAAAGAGGTGGGAACTCCCACTGTCCTTGCTCCAAAATCTCACACCTTTGAAATAGGACTACTGTTTGAACTCAGGTAGGGGCCTTCAGTCTTACAGGTTAGAGCCAACACAGTCTACCTGCCTCCACCCATTCATAATAGCACAGCTGTGGAAGGGAGTTTCCCATTCTCCAGTAAGCTAGTTGCTGGAATGTGTTAGTCCTGTCATGAGAATTCTTGCTTGTGAACAAATCTTTGAAGTGTATTCTCAATTTTAGAATGTAATTGATACACTCCAAATTTTTAAATATATTCTACAACATAAGAATGGGTACTTCTTGGAAAGATTTAAAAAAAAAAAAAAACAACATTGTGACCAAAAAAACCCAGTACTAAATATTCTTATATGGCTAACATTTATTGCTTATGCTAATTGGCACTATGGAATAAACGTGTCTCCTTTCAGACACACAGCAAATCTAATAATCTGTCACTTCAAATACTTTCTTAAAGATGTGTGTGTGTGTGTGTGTGTGTGTGTGTGTTTGTGTGTGTGTATGTCTGCGTGTGTTCGTGTGCAGGTACCCTCAGAGCCAGAAGGCACTCGATCCTCTGGAATTACTGTTGTCAGTCAGTTGATGTGGCTGCGGGGAACTGAACCCAGGTCCTCTGCAAAACCAGCAAGTACTCTTAACCACTGAGCCATCTCTCCAGCCCCTCAAATACGCTTTGTCCAGGTACCTCTCATCATTCTGGAAATAAAATGTAGAGATAATTCTTAAGCCAGGTGTGGTGTACGTGCTAGTAATCATGACACTCACTTGGGAGGGTGAGGAGAGGAATCAGGTGAGCTTAGGGGCAGTCTGGACTACTGAGTAAGACCCCAGCTTAGAAGGAGAAAGGGGAGAGAAAAAGTAAGACTTGGAGTGTGTACATTAAAGCCTTCATGGTTACTTCAGATGTGCATAAACAAACAACCAAGACACTTCTGAACAAAGTAGGATAGATTGATGGGTGGCTATTGCCATCTGAGGGAAAGAAAAGTTATTACAGTCAACTGGGCACTCAGACAGCATTCCCGAAGTCACCACTGTTATTCTGAGACAGGATTATTGCTCAAACTGTCCATTCCAGTTCAAGAAATACTCACTCATCTTTTAAGCAGAGTAATACAAGATGAAAGACATGAAACTCAACTCTCCTTGGGGGTTTAAAGCCAAATTTATTACAATAGCAAGTGCCATGATTAAAAATGCTGGTTAAAATGGTCAAGTATCTAAATAACTTTTCTAATGTAAATACTAGAAATGACAACAACTCGATATGTACACAAAATATTGAAAACATAATATCATGCACAAGGCCAAAAAGTAACATTGCACGCTGTCCACTGTCCATTCATCCGCCGGTTGCAGTGTCACTGTAGCCTGGGGAGGGTGTGCTGGTCCCTCAGACCACAAGCTTCAGAGAAGAGGGCTCTGGACCCTCACCAGCTACCAACATTAATGCTTAACCACCGCCGCCGCCGCCGACAACATCCTGATGAGGTGGCTGTTTTCACTCCCTTCTCCTCATAGGTAGCAGATAAAAAGGGTAAGCTAGAAAAACTGTTTATTAGAACCACCGTGACATGGGTCCCCGTGTTTCCTGTGGAGGTGACATCAAATTTAGTACAAAGAACAAAAAGTGCACCATTGTGTAAATCCCAAGAAGCCCTCACCCGCTGCTTGCTCTTGACTGTCACACACCTCCAGGAGAGGCCGGGGGCCACCAAGTGCAAATGGGAAGGTTGGGGTGGGGGGCAGGAGACAGAGGGAAGGGACAGGTACAAGGTTTTACAGGGAGTTTTCAAAGAATTGTCTGTCCTTCCCTCCACTTAAAGCAGGGATGGGTTCCAGCCCAGCTTCCCTCCATGCACCCAGAGGGGCTTTTGGGTTATCTTGTGACTTACTCTGTGCAGTCATTGCCCTTTAAATGATGTGAGGATTCATCTATTTCCTCCCAAGAACAGGACTCTCCAGTTTGTTGTTGTTTGTTTTCTTTGTTGTTGTTTTGGGGTTTTTTGTTTTTGTTTTTGTTTTGGTTTGGTTTGGTTTTTCGAGACAGGATTTCTCTGTGTAGCCCTGGCTGTCCTGGAACTCACTCTGTAGATCAGGCTGGCCTCAAACTCACAGAGATCCACCTACTTATGCCTCCTGAGTACTGGGATTAAAGGGGTACACTCCACGACACTCTACCCAGGTACCCCAAAATTTGAGGAACATCACAAATATTATAGGTTTAAACATTTTAGAAACATCAAGAGTATGAACTTATTCTTAACATGGGGCAGGGCTTTCTTGGTTTTCGTTTTGTTTTGTTTTTTGCAAATGAGCATGGAACACCCAGAGAGGTTAAGTGGTTGTGCTAAGGAGAAGACAAGAGAGCAAACATGATGCTTTTTCCTCTATGACAAAGCTTCTCAAAGTTCGACATGCATATGACAAACATGAACTCTCATCCAATGCATTTGACCTAATGGGGGCTTTGGACCCCAAATCCCCGATAAGTGCCTAGCAGATGCTGATGCTTTTTGTGGATGAGGCTCACTCTGAGAAGAGGCTACAGTGTATAGAGAGAACGCCAACTCTGCTTGGGCTATAACAGACCTGTCCCAGGGTCTCTGGTAACCCAAGCATATCCCAAGTAAAATCTGAGTCAATGGAGTGATCTATTTGCTAGGAATAAAATTCATCTTTTGTTTACAACATCTTCCCTAAGATGGTCATGATATAAAGGTATAAAAAACTCAGCATATTAAAATCTGTAAGAAACCACCATATGTGTACACTTATACATACAGTACAAATTCTAAAAAACTCAATGCTTTCCATCAGAGTAAAGGGCTACCACTGTTCCCAACTGAAGTCATCTCCTCTTCCAAAGACGAGGAAAAAGCCTTGAATTGTGAGAAAAATGACAGCATTGCCAGCCAGCACAAGGCCACAGGCTCCCCACTTGATCTGAAACACAAGAGAAGGAGTAAGTCATCTTCAGATGGTACTCTTTGTAAATCTCGGATTCTCTACACCAGAAACCCCCACTGAAACGTGACACAGGGAAGACAGTGAACTTGGAATCAATACTTCCATGATGTTTGTTCATTAATTCTAGTATCATCCTTTACATTGTTCCTATAGAAACGTCTCTACTTGGTTTTAGTTGACAACGACTGCCTCAAGCAAAACTCATGATCCAGTTACAACATCGGGTGCAAATTCTCTGCAGCCATCACTCTCTTTCACAGAGAACAGGGGTTGGAAAATTCCACATCTATTTGCTTCTTTTCTAGGCAAGGCATGCTTTAAACAACAATCTGCAGTCAAATGAAAGGGGTAGCCCAGCTGGGTAGGTGGTTTTATGGAGGCACAGCTGGAGACGAGAGTACCCTCTAGTGGGCATTTTTTTTTCTTTTGGCTTCAAAATAACCAAGAGAAAAACCAATGGAAGTTTCTTCCCCAAACACAACCTCAGTGTTGAAAGTGCAAATATGAACACTTAAGGCTGAAGAACGAGGGCAAGGCCACCTTGTGTTCAGAGCTTCAGAGAGCCTCACGGCTTAAGTAAAACTGAAGCAGCATTAGGAACTCTGGCTCAGTAGGTCTCAAAGACACATTTCTGGCCTTACTCTCAGTGCCTCCTTTATGCTTCATCACATGGCACTGTTCTTTATTCCACACACTGCGTTTTCACACTTGGGTGCCATTCCAACAGCCTTGTCTACTTTAATCAAAATCCTATTTGGCTTTAGAGGCCCATAGCAAGCAGCACCTGGCATTTCTCTCTTTTTGGTACTCCTATGGTATTCTCATCTGTTTCTTTCCCCATACTTGGTATACTTTAGCATACTTCTTCATCAGGACATCATCTTGTTCTTTGCATGCTGACACTATGGAATTTTTAACCCTGGCATTTCATATATGGTATTTAATGCTGAATGAATGAACAATTTGTACATATTTGTACATGTTTGATAGCCAATGTGTTTGGCAGAATAAAAAACAAAGAGTAGAAGAGTTGGAGAACATCAAGAAACTGAATAAATTATACCCACAATGTTTGATTTACATGCAAAAAAAAAAAAAAAAAGCCTACAATGGCTGTGGTGACATCACTCACTAGATACTCCTCAGTATATCCCAGAGTACTGAGAAATAAGTTCCTGGCTCCAACTCAATATGATCTTCATTTTCTGATTGTCTTAGCATCGTTTCTATTGTCTTTATGGATTGCCCTGTGGCGTAAGAGGCAGGACTCTAAGAATGGTTGGAAAGAATGGCTTAATATGGAAAAAAACAAGAAGTCATATGATCTGACTAAATGTTAAGAGAAACAGAGAAAGCATTCTGAAAATATGACCAAGACACTGATGAATCTCAGGCAGGAGAGAGAAACTCACTCTACAGCTACAAGGAAAGTAGAAGCAATGAAAATGAACTTGAGGTCTCAGACACAGGCCTTTGAAACAAACCCTGACTGCAAGTAAAACAATAGACAACAGAACTCACCACAGCCACACGAGCAAGAATAACAGGAAATCCAAAGGCAGAAACAACAATCCCAGTAGTGAAGAAATATGCCAGTTCCCGACAGGCACTGCTGGTCGCATCGGAGTCATAGGTGACCCTTTTGGCAATGAAGTAGGGGATGGGGGAAATGACGTAGAAGATCAAGACGAACAGAGGCCAGTAAACGCTGTCATCAGTGGAGCCACGATGACACCCAAAAGAAATGTTACATTTTAACTCAATGGCATATTGTTGTTTCAATATAATTATTTTACATGCTTAAGTAAAAACATTAATCGACTATGACTATTATAACATGACAATATTTCTACCAGGCACAGATACAGTTAGAAAATATTACTTATTTTCTAATATATACACATATTACATTAAGAAACAACTATAGAATGTTATATTACAGATCTGCAGGTTTTTGTTTTTTTTGTTTTTGTTTTTTTTTTTTTTTTTGCAGTAGTAGGGACTAGACCTAGGACTTTGTCTAAGTTCAGCAAGAATTCCACCACTGAGCTATATAGCTGGCCCTGACTAGCAACTCCAAGGACAGGATCTTAAAAAGCCACCTCTGCTTCCCCTGTAGAACACAGTACAGCGGTTTACACATGCTAGTTTCATAGAAATTTTTGAGTGCATGCAGGCACGAAAGTGTCCAATGATTTAAAATGAAACACAAATCAGGCCTCATATCTACTGCTTTCCATGTCTTCAATTCATTCTGGACCACTCCACCCTCATTCTCTGAACCTGTAGCCACAGCAGCCTTCTCCCTGCTCCTTGCACGCTCTGGTCTCAAGCTTGCTTTGGGCTCTTCTCACTTGCAGTTCAGCCTAAGCTGGGAGAGCCCTTCCTGAAGGTGATCCTTGCCTACAGCACCCTGTCTAGCTTTCTGAATAACACTATTTGGTAACTTTGTGCTCCTTAGAACAGAGATGTCATTTGTCTTAGTCAATCTCTGTTTATCTCCAGAGCCTGGAATGGGACGTGCCATTTGCACTTGTTAAATGGGTGGGAAAACAAACAAACAAACAAACAAAATATTTTAGTAATGAAGGAATGAAAATGCACTTTTGCTCACTTGTTCACAACCTCACCTTTATTACAGTGGATAATTACAAGTATAATCTCACATAAAGGGGAAAAAAAAAAACACCCCCAGTTGTTAAGAATAGCCACTGAATTTCTAATTGTGTTTTCACTATAAATACTTTCAAAATAATCTATCACCCTTGTCTCCTTCGGTTAGCCACCCACTGAAGAAAAACATACCAGCCGGTCGTTATCATAAGCACATGGCACAATAACACACACCATCACCAAACAGTAATCATGCGGATCCACCCACACAGCAAACACTCCTGGGGTGAAGCCCTAGGAAGTTGGGTGATAACCAGGAAGCAAGAAGGGAGTGTCCTTCAGCAAGCAGACTCGGGTTGGAAACAATGAATGTGAGCTCCTCACTTCATACTACAGAGGTTATTAGAATATATTCCAGAAATCACCTGAAAGTATTGCTGGGTAGTATCAGGACAAAGACAGCGAGGAGCAAGCTACAGAGGAGGGACCTAACTGGCACCTGCAAGCTCCCTGGAATACTTTGACAGTTTTCTGAGGCACAATCTAAGAGATTGTCCCCAAGCAGCGTGAGCCTGTCAAAAGAACTTCTATTGTGGGAGTGGTCTTTTCATACATAAAATTTAACATTAAGCATAAAATAGTTTATTAAATGGGAAGGCCAAAGATTGGCAAACCCTTTTCTGAAAAAGCCCACACAGAGAACACAAGTGGCTAGGCAATCACAGGCCTCTGCCACCTCTACGCTCTGCCACTGTGGTACAAAAGCCATGACGGTGGACCTAACAAAGCCTAACCCACAGAAGTGGGCAGCAGCTACATTGGCCAGTTTGCCAACTTCTGATTCAGATGAAAGTCCCAAGTTACTGTCACAAAGGCATAAAATGAGTCTCTTTGTGGTGGCAGCAATGTGGGCTGTTCTCCTCTTATGGAGACATGGTACATTACAGAGAATCCAGACACCAGGATTCAATTAGTCATGGAATGATAGAAAGTGCCATGGCCAAGAGCAGAGCAGAGTACCACATCCACAGCTGCTATTTACTACTGTACAGCCAGCAAGGTTTTTACTATTCAGGCTCTGGTTTCCCAGGTAGGAAGGGGAACAGAATATTCCTAAACAAGAATTCAGTCATGGCCATGAACACTCTGAACAAATGTTTTTTGTTTATATCATGTTTCAATGATGTGTGTGAATATTTCTGACTCCATGGTAGATTTTAACTCAGAAATGTTTTCCTGATTAGTTTTTTGCCAACTTGATACAAGCTAGAGTCATTTGAGAAGAGGGAATCTCACTTGGGAAAATACCTCCATAGGATTGGCCTATAGGCTAGCCTGTGGGGCGTTTTCTTGATTTATGATTGATGTGGAAGGTCCAGCCCACTATGTGTGGTACCACTCTGAGTAGGTGGTCCTGGGGTGTATAAGAAAGCAAGCAATGAGGAGCAAGCCAGTAAGCAGCATTCCTAATGGCCTCTACTTCAGTTCTTGCCCTGACTTCCCTTCATGATGAACTACAACTGTAAGCTGAAATAAACCCTTTCTCCCTAAGCTGCTTTTAGCCACGGTGGTTTTTTTGTTTTTTTTGTTTTTTTTGTTTGTTTGTTTGTTTATCCCAGCAATAGAAAACCTAAGACAAAGATCACAAAAGCTGGTTCCAGCTGGTCTCAGTCACACATTTCAGGGTCAAGGCATTCAAGTCACTCACCACTCATTCAGGCGGGCACGAACTTGCTTGAGCCCGGAGCAGTGAGTAAAAGCTACTTCCACCTACACAGTCCATTTCCTTCCATTTCCACAGCTCTAGGCCCCAATTATGCTACATCTCTGACAGTGGCCCCTTAGGATCCTCCCAGAGTCTGTCAGCACATTCCTACCTAGCCTCATTATATGTCTTCCCAGCTCCTGTTGTCTGGGACACATAATCTAACCTCCTCCACTGGGCATACAACTCCCCAAAGAGCTGGCTTAATCACTTTTTAGTGGGTTCTAGGATAAAGGCTTCTGACTGTTCCCTATGCCTGGGATGCAGAGCAACTCTTGCTCATCCACTAAGTCTTGGCTCAGGAGAAATGCACGGGTCTGCTCTCTGAGCTCCCACTCTCTCTACATTCTTATTTCCTTGATTAATTCTCTCTGTCTCTCTCTGTCTCTCTGTCTCTCTCTCTCTCTCTCTCTCTCTCTCTCTCTCTCTCTCTCCAGACTTTACCTGAAAGCATCTGGGGCCAGGACTTGTTCTCACATCCCCAGATGCTCCAGGTTCAGGGCTTAACAACTGTTTATCAATTGAATACATCTGTTTTTTTAAAAAGAGCTTTTTTCTACACAAATACACTGGTGCCTGAAGGGACTGAATTCCTAATCTAGACTTCACCAACTCATGAATTACAGCATGGGCCACACGGATTAGACTTTGACAGTAACAGTAACAGAGACACAAAAAGACGTTTCTTTGAGAGCCGGGGAAACAGCTCAGTAGGTAAAGTGCTTGCTGTACAAACAAATGCCAAGTTCAATCCCTAACATTCATGTAATCCCAGCACTGGGGTCGGGGGTGGGGTGGAGGTAGAGACAGGAGGTCTGCATAGCTGGTTGGCCAGTCTAGCAAGCTCCAGGTTCACTTAGAGACTGTCTTCCAAAAAGTAAGGTGGGAAAGAGACTGGAAGACAAATCACCTCCACAAATAACTGCATACATGCATGCTCATGCACAAGCTCACTCTCGCGAGCACACACACACACACACACACACACACACACACACACACACTGTAATTCTTTTTTTCAAACAACTTACCCATAGTCCTCCAAGGCACATCCCAGCATAAGAAAAGTCAGCCCAATAGCCCCGCTGAAGGATAGTGCCACCAGAGCTGTGAAAACACACAAGTAAATGTTTCAGGATCTAATCAGTGGTTGTTTAGGGGTGGTGGGTCCAGAAACCACTAAAAGCTACAAAGATTTGTTTAAGGTATGGCAAAATGTCATGGGAATAGATGGCAGTGGTGGCAGCATGACCTTGTAAATACGATAAAGTCAACAGAATTTTACATTTTAAAAGGCTGAGTTTATGGTATCTGAATATATCTCCATAAAACATTCTCACTTAAAAAGAGGCACAGGGGGCTGGCAGGTTGGCTCAGCAGATAAAGGCAACTGCTGCCAAGCCTGATGGCCTGAGTTCCATCTCCAGAACCCTCACTATGGAAGGAGAAAACCAACTCCTGCAGGCTATCTTTTCACCTCCACAGGTGTGCTATGACATGTGCATACCCACATACATTTTTAAATGAAATTTGAGAGCTTAGAAATTTAAGCAAATGTAGCAATTTACTTACATTATCAATTGATGTTACACCTGACCATCCAGTGAGTACTACAATGTGACTGAATGTCTGTGTACCTTTTAAACTCATATATATTTGAAATCATAACTCCTGGTAAGATGGTCTTAAGAAGTGAGGCCTTTGGGTTTGTTTTCTTTAAAACAATGTAGTCCAAGCTGGCTTCCCACTTTAGATCCTGCCTCCACAGCTCAAGAACTGGGATAACAGGCATGCACAGCCAGACATTTAGGAAATCATTATATTTAGATGAGAGCATGATGACAGAGTTCTTTTGACAGGATCACTGTCCTTATCACAAGAGAAAAAAACTAGAGTTCTTTTTTTTTTTCACTGTCTGCCCCCTGGATCTTGGACTTTCTGGCCTCCAATTCTCAGGATTAAGTCACTTAAACTACCCAGTTTGTGGTTCAGTTGGTACAATAGCTCAAAGTCAGTACGACAACTGCCTCTGTCCACCTTTAAAACCAAAAGTAGAAAGTTCTCTAGCCATTCCAGCAACTTGCCCCTACCTACCACATGGCTTTTCTCTATATTTGTCAAAGCATAGTTAGCCAGGCTTGTCAACGCCAGTGAGGGGAACACACAACATGCCTTCATAGAAAACAGTCCCCAACTAATGGCCACTATAAATCCCCCACACACTGGACACTCACACACTCACATCAGAACATGTTTGCCCTTTCCATTTTGCTATGTGACAGCCCTCAGGCTAACTCTTAGTCACCAAATGGGTTGTTCAGACATCGATTCTGCAACCAGCTGATTACATGACCTTGGGCAGCTGGACCTCTTGAGCCTAGTTTCTTACCTGTAAGCTGGCAATGCTGGTCCCATTTCATTGGGCTTATGGAAATTAAATTAGATAATCTATATAGGGTGCTTGACAAAAGGAGCTCATTCACTCACCTCGAAGGTCTCCACTCACATAGATATTTGATAAAATAATAAATCAAAAGCACAGGGTACTGGATCATCCAAATTTTCTTCTTAAAATCCCTACTAGAATTAGCCACTAACTAATGAAGACTGTTTATTGACTTCTTTTATTAACAGATTTAGAGAGACTGTTTAACTGAAAGTTACCATGATGCCTCCCAGAAAACCTAGATGAAAACAGATGTCAGGGGATGAGAAAGGAATTTCTATATTAATTTCTCTCTTTTTCTATTAATAAGGTATTTTTAATGGACAAAGGTCTGTGAGTTTAGAAGTTGCCTGACCTTTTCCTTGTAGCCTTGCCCTGCTCCTTAGTGACAGACCACCTCTTCCAGGAACCTAGAACATGTGAACAAAAGACCTACTTCTTCTTTCTGTTCCAAAACCATCTCAGAGTTCACAACCGCATTTCTGTAAGCTGTGTGAGTGTGTGTGTGTGTGTGTGTGTGTGTGTGTGTAAGGGGAGTATATAAGCCATAGCACATGTAAAGACAACCTTGTGAAGTCAGTTCTCTCCTTCCACCTTCCCATGGGTTTCTGGGATTCCTCCTTTTACTATGTAGATCCCAGGGATCAAACTCAGGTCTTAAGGCTTGGCAGCAAATGCCTTTCCTACCAAGCCAGTGATTTGCAACCTGTGAGTAGTGACCCCTTTGGGTCACCCTTTCACAGGGGTTGACTAAGACCATCAGAAAGCACAGATATTTACAATTCATAACAGTAGCAAAATTACAATTATAAAGTAGCAATGAAAATAATTTTAGGGTTGAGGGTCACCACAACATGAGGTACTTATCAAAGGGTCACAGCATTAGGAAGGACCACTGTACTAAGCCTTCTTGTAGAACTCTGCTTCTGTGCTTACATGGGCTTTCCCTGTATGTCTTCAAGTACGAATTTCCCTCTTATCTGAAGGATATCATGATAACAACTGCAGTTTGTAAATAAGTTCACACCCTTTTTTGGCACTGGGGACTTAGAACTTGAACATATCTTTGGAGGGACATGATTCACCCCAACATATTATCTCTATGTTACCAACTGTCTCTGAGCACACCTCATTTCCTTACACAGCAATATAATTATCTGCAGCTGTCAACTTGGTAAAAATGTCTCATTTGTCTGTCTCCAATGTAGTCTCTTAATAACAACTGAATTACCGGCAATTTTTTTTTTTTTTTACTTTGCTTAGTTCTTGTCCACTTATAGCCCGTGTTCCTTTTCACTACATGATTTCTAGCACGTTCACACATAAACTTCTGTTACCATTTTGTACTTTCTGGCCATGACCAAACACTCTGTAGTGGTGAGACACCATTTTTCTGTTTTCTGCACTGCCTTCAATGGATATATTACTATATAGGGGACACTGCCCAAGTAAACCACGTTTACTCAGCTGATACAGAATATAAAAGTTCTCCAGAAACGGTAAGGTATGTCTGTTACTAGCTGCTCACACAGATACATTCATAGTGCACCCACAAGCACACACATGCTGTCCATCTGTACACATGTTGGTAAGTAGGAAGGTCTTGGTGGACAGTTTTCAAGGAAAGGAGGTCCAACACAAGAGACAAGTTAGTCAACTTTGTGCAGATGACCAGAAATCCAAATAACAGGAAGCCTTCCAGTAACCTCCCCACTCAGACCCCTATTGCTCTTCATTCATACAGATCAGGGTGGTGATCTCTGTGCCCCTTTTATCACCATTCAAAGACACAAACAGCACACTCACTGCGTTGTCTGTTCACAGTCGAGTCAAAGAAAACACTCAAGAAAGTCTTGTTAAAAATCCCACCTAATCAGAGCCCCAAGGTTGCGACGAATAGAGTATTTCTGGTTACTTTTCACTGCCATATGCCAGGAATTGATTCTGCCCATCTAGAAAATCGTTAAGGAACAACAGGACCAAGTTTCCAACACCCTGCCTGGAGACAAAGGCTCCTCTATAAGTCATAGGAAACTGCGGAGAGGCAGGAAGGTGGGGATGTGGGACCCTGGTGGGACCCACGGGGAACTGAGAAGCCCAGGAGGCGACAGTGGAACGCACATCCCAGAGGAGAAGCCCCCGCCAAGGGTCTGGCGGGCGTGGGCTCGAGCGTTTAGAGGGTCCGCGAGACACAGCTGCAGCGCACGCGGGAGCCCGGGGTCTGCAAGAGCCTGCACGCTCAGCCAGCTGCTCGCGGCACAGCTAGGACCCGGAGCGACCCCAACCACCAGCCGCGGGCGGGGGTCGCGGTGTACCTTTAACGCCCGCCATGTCCCTGGACCTGAGGCCGTCGCTGCTTCCGGCTTCCTCTAAAAGCCGCCCCCACCCAGACTAGTTTAGGGATGGCGTGCGAATCCGGAGCCCGCCCCGCCCCGCAGGGTGGGCCCCTGATGACATTGTCCCCGCCCCTAGCCAACAGGGCCACGCCTCTTCCTACAGGACCCGCCTCCTGTTGTTTTAGATCCCCCCGCCCAGTCCGCGGAGCACCGCCTCCGAGTCTCGAGCCCACCCCTCGAAATAGGACCCGCCCCCTGATCCTGGGGCTCCACCCTCAGCTTGTGGAGCCCCGCCCTCAGAAGACAGCTCGCCCCACCAAGCAGATCCTGACTCCTATTGGTTTTGGTTTCTGCCATTAATAACCTCACGCCCAATTCGGTCGGATCCTTTCCTACAGGCTCTCAGCACTTCCTGTTCAGATCCAGCCCACAGAGACCCTCCCCAGGCACACTTCGCGGACCTATAACTCCTCCCCCAGTTCTCAGAGTCCCTCCCCTACCGCACGGATCCTGCCTGTCTTGCAGAACCCCGCCTCCGCTGGATTGGTTCCGCCTCCGCCACTCAGAACCCAGACTCTACTGGTCCTAATTCCTGCCACTCAAACATCGTTCACGAAGTCTCCAAGCTCCTGGCCCAGAACTCCGCTCCTAATCTTAGCGCCCCTCCCACTTTCACTACCTCAGAATCTTAACTCTTCAAGGATCCTACAAATTCTGAGATGTCCCAGCCCCGCCACTCAATCTGGGAACCAAACCTCCCTCACAGTCGTGACTTCCGACCCAGATGCTGTCTCATGGTATTCTAGATGCTTAGTAGCTACATTAACATTTTGTGTGAACTAGTGTGTCCCTCTGTCTCCTTCATTCTTGTTTATTTGTAGCGATAAGTACCATACAGACTCTTTGGGTCCGAAGTTTTCCTGAGTCTATTATTTTTTGTAACATGGATCTGCAAGTAACTAAGGCCCAGAGCCATTTTTTTTTTCTTACCTTCATCACTGGAATCTTCATCTTAGAAACCATACAATCGAAAACATCTACAGAAAGGAGTTCAGAAAGCATAGGAACTGTGCCTAACAGGTCCTTAGATAAGATCGGAAAACAAAAACCACGAGGAAACACGTTTTGGGTTGTTGGGTTTGTGTGTGTGTGTGTGTGTGTGTGTGTGTGTGTGTGTGTGTGTGTGTGTCTGTGTGTCTGTGTGTCTGTGTTGTTTTGTTTTTTGTTTTGAGAAACACTGCATTTGCATAAGTTATTACAATAGATTTTCTAATCTTCCTAATATATCAATTATAGTGTAACCGTTAGAATTTAAGCCATTGTACCATTGTAAGTGTGTATAGGATAAAACAGTGTCCATAGGGTCTGGTACTATCTGCAGTGTCAGGCACCTGCTAGCATCATGGACAATACACCTGGTGAAAAGGAGGCGTTGTGGTACCTGAAAAAGCACTCAGGAAATGCTCAGTGGAACCTGTGTTTTTAATACCTTGATTGTAACCACTGGGCTACTTTAGTGAGGAGCTAGGATATTTTCCCACTTTAAATGATTAGGATACATGATGTAAAACATTCTCCTCCCATCCTCAACCATCCAGTTTGTCCCTGAAAGGCCATGTAGAGAGGTTTGCTAGAGCCTTCTATGTCAGCCTGCATCTAATCCCATGATTTAAAAGAAACTGACGTAGGAGACACAGGGTAGTGTGAATGCCCAAGGCTTCGCAAGAAAATACTGAAAAATGGTAAGAAGAAGGAGAAAGAAGAAGGGTGGGGGGGAGAAAGGAAGGAAGGAAGGAAGGAAGGAAGGAAGGAAGGAAGGAATTAAGTAACTTAGTTGTTGGCCCCAGGGCCATGTTTGGAAGCACAACAGTTCTGAGACAATGTATATCTCCAACTGCTTTCTGCCACATCACTGTCCTTTCAGGTCACTGAGCACTTTAAAGTGGTCACTTGCCAGAGTTTGGACCATCACCCAAGAAATCAGACTTTTCTTGTTTTTGTTTTTTGTTTGTTTTTTGGGGGGTTGTTGTTTTTTTGAGACAAGGTTTCTCTGTGGCTTTTCAGAGTTTGGACCATCACCCAAGAAATCAGACTTTTCTTTTTTTGTTTTTGTTTTTTGTTTGTTTTTTTGGGGGGGTTGTTGTTGTTTTTGAGACAAGGTTTCTCTGTGGTTTTGGAACTAGCTCTTGGTGACTAGGCTGGTCTCGAACTCACAGAGATCCGCCTGCCTCTGCCTCACAAGTGCCGGGATTAAAGGCGTGAGCCACCACCACCCAGCCAGACTTTTCTTTTGCCAGACATTACATTGAAAAACTGTGGTACTCACCCATTCCACATGCCACAAGAAGAGCCGCCAAAAGCTGCATCTCACCCCAACCAGCCATTCCTATGTTACTTGACTGTATAAGATCTGGGCCTCTGTCTATGACTAGAGTAAGAGTACTTACGATGAACCTTAATGTTTCCTCCTTGAGTTCAAGTTTCAAACACTATGAAGTAGATTTTATTATCTCCATTTTACAGCCAGTAAAACCAAGGCCCAAATAGTGAGCAGGGAACAGGAAGGCTGAGATCAAGCCCTGAAACACTCAATTCAGCCACTCACGTGTCACAGCACATCTTATACTCAGGGAGGCAGGGTTGATAGTGATGAGAAATAACAGTAATACCTGATGTGAAAGAGGGTGTTCAAAGCAATTCACTGATTTCATATCAATCTGCATATTTACTAGTGTCTTACCTGTGGCATTTACCAAAAGTTGGTTCTATTAACTGTGGGAGCAAAAAAAAAAAAAAAAAAAAAAAAAAAAAAAAAAAAAAAAAAGTGTGATTCCCTATCCCAGTCAAGTTTCATGGCCAATACCACTATACCAAAAGACAGGTTACAACAGAAAAATCACAACAAATTTATTTGATATGGTTTTAAATGACCACAGGTTGAAGACTCATGGAGTCTGTGTGTACTGTGCACTCTTACGTTTAGGTTTGATGAAGCACTGATAGCCACATAGAAATATGATGGGTCAAAAGAGTTTAACCTAATAGTGATGGGCTCAGATGGAAACCTGAGAGGTCTGTCTATTTACATTCTTCTCAAGTGGTCTGTGCAGCATTCCTCCTTCCAGATATGATGGCACAGGACCCTTCCTGGGCTAGTGAGCTTACAATCTACAATTAAAGGTGAAAGAACTTCCAATGATCAACTCTTACGGCAAAAAGGAGGAAAATGAAGGTGATTTTAGGTTTTATGTCTGGCTTTAAGGGCATGGGTTCTATGACCTGCCTAAGCAAAAATGAATGCTAGTCTCTGTGATCTACCTAGGGAAGGAAGATGGGAGACTGGAGAAATTTGGTTTTTGAGGTCTTCAGCTTGGAGTCATTTTCTGAGCCCTGACATAGCAAATATTAGTAAGTTAACTATAAATAGTGTCGCCTCACCCTATCCCATGGAAAATATCCTTCTCAAGCCCTAGCTCTTATATGGCCATACATGTAAGATCACCACAAGGTATCATACGTGCCCCGGAGCAGGCTCTAAGGTCAGCACATCAGTTGAACAAGCGTGCAATGACACTAACAGAAATCCATAAACAGACTTCCCTTCTTTACCCACAGCTACCCCATCCACAGACCCTACCAACATCTGCCATTTTCTATGTCCAGATCTCACCCCACCCTCAACCCCAAGGAGGCAGAAGAAGTGCCAAGGAAAGGAGTGTTTCCATAAAGACTTTCCTACACCTGCACCCATTTCTCAAACGGGAGGGCTTCCTGTCTCATTTATTATCATTAACAGTAGCAATAGTTATCAATCAGTATCCATGGGATAACAATGTACACCCATGGTCCCTAATTCTTCCGTGGAAGAACTGTGAGGAATCTATTTTACACATGGTAAAACCAGGACTCAGAGAGTGTAAGGTATCTGTCAACGTAACTGATATTAAGTAGGAAAAAAAATAAAAATCTCTTGATTTGACTCACATTTTCTGGTCTGGTGGTTCCAGTATGGGAAACTGACTTGTGCTGTGATAACTTCCTCTGGAATTCAACTTTTGTGCTGACTTCTTACTAGGTGGGACCTCACCAGTGGGTTGGTACTGACTTGAGCATCTGAGTCTAGACACACAGGCACAGTAGTGGCTCAAATGCTCTACAAATATTCCTGTGCTATGGTAAAGTCCCAGACTATAGATCAGACTCTCTGTTACTCAACACACACACACACACACACACACACACACACACACACACACACACACACACACACACACGACTAAAAATGCATTAACATTCCAGTGAGAATAGGATTTCTATGCTGATTTCTTTTGCATCACAGTATTCATTAGGCATGACCAGTGTGCGTACGTCTGTCTGTCTGTCATTTTGTCTCAGGGCATGATGAAAGCATAACTGTAGAATCTTGTCAGGTTACATTTCAATGCAAATGTATTCTTCACTTTTCACATTCTTTCCCCTTACTGTTCCTTAAAAGCAAATCAGGTCAGAAGGTGTCTTTCAAGTTTGTCATTGTACTCCTTATCTCATTTGTTTGTTTTTAAGATTTATTTTTAATCATGTATTTGGGGGAGATGATAATGTACACACCAGTGCAAATGCCTGTGGAGACCAAAAGAGGGCATCAGGTCCCTCTACAGCTGAAGGGCAGGCAGGAAGGCACCCAATGTGGGTGCTGAAAGCCAAAGTCAGGCCTCTGCAAGAACAATATGCACTTTTAACCACTGAGTCCTGAGTCATCGCTCTAGCCCAGTGATTCTCAACCTAT